AATAATGATTGAAAATAAATTGTGAATGATTGAGTGACAACATATAAAACTTTTACATTGTCGATGTATATATTTTTCCCCTTCTAAATATCTTCTCATTGTATATTCATTTCACGAAATCGGCATAATTATGATCGTTTTATTATTTCAGCAAATAATGCAAAAGTATAAAGCTCAAATTGAAAGGTTGTTTGACGTTGGGAATAATGAACTTGTCATAATTATGATCGTTTTACTTGTCACTTTCTTGTGGGTATGAGGATTAATAGGAAGATTTAGTGGGATGATATATCATTTTCCTTTATTTTTTATATTTTTTTTTGACATTTATTCCAACTTTAACTTTAAATATTAAATTATCAACTTATTCAAAAATTGTAATTTTGTGATGTTCATACAAACTACTGTGTCTGAAATGGTCACTTAGGTATGCAAGTACTCAAGCATACATCTTGATAGATGGTCAAGGGATAGAATAATTTTATTAGAAATTAGTTTTAAAATTTTATTATATTATGCTCCTCATTTTCCAAAAAAATCATGTTTGATTTCTTAATCATTATTATCCTTATATTTTCAATCAATAAAATCGTCCTTGATATAATTAGTCAATATTGCCCATTACAGTTTACAAAAGGTTACAATACCTTTTAAACGTTTGGTTATTGTTCAAACTTACATAAAAATGTTTTGTGTTAAAAAATTACACTACCAACTAATTATATATTTCTATATCATTTCAAAGAGAATACGAAATAAATATTGAATAAAAAATAACAGCTTTCATTATATTATAGTCGACTTTGTAAAAATAAGACTTTTCAAATTATTTTATAAAGTAAAATTGTATTAAAAGAATTACAATGAGTAATTCATGCCAATATGCATGCATAAGAACAATAGTAGACATTGAATTTGGCTGAGAAACCATTTATACAAACACAACATTATCTTTGCCAACTATATTGCTCAAATTTTTATATAACAATCTGGACACATACATTATTTGGAAAATTTATTATTATAAAAAAGGGTAAAGTTAATAATAAGAAAGAAAATTATTTAGAAAATTTTAGGGCAAATAAAGCGCCGGCCCTAAAGTTAACACTTATATATACCCTAAGAATTAATATGTAGCTTGAGACTCGGGGGATTGAGGGGTCATTACCCAGGACAAAGTACCCCACAGACTCCACTACAAATAAGTGATAACCAACTTGTAATTTATATCCATGGAGTAAGACTCTTCTACATTTGAAAGTTGTATGAAAAAATAAAAATAAAAAAAAATAAAAATTATTCTTATATTTTTATTAATTATATTGAGATTATATTTTTACCCCTAAAAATTAAAAAAATAAAGAATTTTCTTCTCTATTACTTGAAAGGAGACACACTCTTTCCCATGGTGGGCCAGACGGCTAATTAGGGTGATGAGATCACTTATTTTAAAATGGTGTCTTAAATCCTGTCTCAGTCAATAAGAGAATAAAAATGAAAAGTCACATGAATAAATATTTTTTTAGTGAAGAGTGATGTGAATTTTTTAAATAACGTGACACAATATTATTGGTTGAGACATGATTGGAGACACCATTTTAAAACATTTGATCCAATCCGCAAGATACTTTGTTGTTTTCCCTCTCATACATCAATAGTTTTTTAGATTATAGTCCACTTTTGTTGGGTAGAAAAATTATTAGATTCGTTTTTATGTTACCAAAAAAGGCAACGTGTGTATATGTATCTATCTCATTATTTAAATAAAAGGGGGAAGTTTGAGTTTTATCTACAAACAAAATATTGGTAGGAAGAACTATTTTTTGTTACATTTTGAATGTTTTCACCTTGAACATGATTATAAATTCATGTGGCTAAATCAATGAGTGTTCTTCTTTTCTTGTGGCATGTGTTATTCCCCTTCTCCGTGACCAAATAAGATGATTAAATTATACATGGCATACTAATCTATATAAAACATGTGGGAAGTTCTGAAGTATCATCTGATTATTTTCATAATATGTTGTTATTTAATTTTTCCCAATCTTCCATAATCAAAAGAGTCACAAGTCACAACTCACTTAGAAGTTTCCAAGTAGATAAGCTTTTAGTTTGATTAGTTACTACGTTAAATGAGGCAAATATGTCTTAGATCTACATTTTTTAATCATTCGATGTTGAACATATATACTACAGAATTAGCAACTTTTTTATTCATTATCCTCAAGCAGAAGATACGTGATTTCAGGAGTCAATTGAGTGCAATGTAAAAAGAAGATACATAGTTGTTTTTTCTAAGGGATAAGAGGATATTACAATAACAAATTATGTGCGTATATATGGGATAATTGATATGATAGATTTGTTTATACTAAACTAGTACTTTAGTCCAGGTATAATTCACATTATCAATTTAATTTTTTTCTATAAATTTGATTAACGCATGATGCACAACTAGTCTCTGCACTCAAATCAAAAGATCCTTCACTAATCAGCTACACGTAATTAAATTTAAGTATTACTTGAGAAAAATGTTGATGAAGATCGAGGTCATGATTGAATGCTGAAGCGTTTACAAATATCTACAAATAATGGCCATTAATTCTTCACAGGTTAATGAGAAAAGATGATAATTGATAATTGAAATAATTATTATTTAGTGTATATATTACCCTCTACTATTATTATTATTGCTAGAATGATAAGAGGTTATTGGTATGTCAAAATTTGCATGTAGAGTGAAGCTGTATGCTGCCTTAAATGTAGCACAGCTTATCCCTTCACGGGAATTTTATGATGTGGGACTCTTCATTAACTAGCCTATATGTAATCAATAAGTTTTCTCACATTAAATTTGATGAATTTTCTTTATTTCCCAAAATGCAATAAATGTCTTTTATTTCTTATTCTTAAAGTTCAATTTGTTTTTGAAATAAATGCATTATTCAGGCCAATATCTTAAAGTTTTCTGACTGTATTTTTGGAACCTGCTTTGTAAAAAAGATAGATCCATATTCGTTATTAGTTATTTTTAATGTTAACTTATATACATTTCAGAGAAAGGAGAAAAGAATCACCGCATGTGCTTATACTTTATACATCATGTGAAAGTATAGATAAAGAATCTGATTTAGGAATATATAAAAATAATTGTCTAGTTGACAAAGCACCACTTTTCCACATCCTCATAAATGATCAACTAATTTGCATGTATCATGGATCATTTACACAGGAATGACACTGGCTATCAGCACATGCAAAAAGAATATGAATAATGGATTATTGACATTTTCAAGCCTAAAAATCCATAAGGCGTTCGTTCGTCTTAGTGTAAGGTACCATATATCTTCAGAAAGACTAAAACGTCAATAATTCAATTTTTGGGAGCGACAATTGTTAGAAGATACAATCACATATTCCAAAATGGATTAATTTCTTATCCATAAAGTGAAGGGATACCTTGTGACTACAAAAAAAACTTTTTACTCAAAAGATAGGTGAGAAACAAACTTTAATTGCTATCTCATTTTTCTTTTTGAGTAATGGCCAAAAATATACCAAAAGGAATAACATTGAAGATTTACTTTGATTCATGGTAAAACTAATGTAAAAAGTTTTACATTCCTAGGTTTGTTTCTTGGAATGTGACTTATTAATGTTTGGTAAAGATTAGGAAAAAAAATGATTCGCAAAATGAAAATGTAAAATGTTTTGCAAATTTTATTTTTGAAGACTGTCAACATCATGTTAGCAATCAAACTCTAAAAAAAGCAAAGTCAGAATGTCTGAAAAAACTAGCTAGGGCGAATTCTATAATGAAGTGTGCTCAATTGGACAAGCTCCTAGATTAATGGTTCGAGGAATATAACTTAAAGCTTCAGTTTTGTAACAACAACTTTTCCAGCACCACTATACCTTAACCTCAGAACAAAAGTGGTTGATGGAGTGGTCCTCCAAGATGACTTTAACATAATTAGCTGCCTAAAATAAAAAAACTATCTTCCCTTGTTTTTCGCTGTGATTTACTCCTATCATTCCTATTTTATAAGCATAAAAAGGGATTCATGTGTCCTACTTATTATTCCCATATCAGGTCACTGCCACTATCCAATATTGCTCTATTTCTAACTCCCCAGACTATGGCTACTACATTTCATTAACGAACCAATGTTCAATAATCTTTAAACTTGTCAAATAAAGATGACTTAATTTCCCTTAAACTCAATAACCATCACGAGTTTCATGTTCCATTTACAACTTAGTAAATCAGAGACGTTTTATTTGACTACCATAAACAATGAGAGAGAGATGCATGCATGGTGGCTTTTTCACATGGGGGGTGGTAGTTAATGAACACCAGATAAGGTAGTTTTGACAAATGGGGCATATAATTACAATGGATTTCACTGCCATCGACCTGTTCTTACCAAAACCCAAAAGCTACTATATTTCCCTTCAAAATAATGCATATCAAATCTGACCATGGCCCCATTTTACTTATTTCCACAGAAAAAAAGTTTATAAGGGAATCTTGACTCTTCAACAAATAATATCTACATTTATTTAGCACATTAGAGAAATGTACCTGATTTCCACCACTTACTGTGTAAGGCCATTTTTAATTGGCAAATGCTTAGTTGTCCAATCATATTATATTATCTAACACAAGCTAACATAATTTAATGAGGGTTCAATAATGTGCACGTTTCATTCATTTAGTGTTATCAGGGTAAAAAATATATTCACCGAAACTTTATGAATTTTATATAATGTCATTGCATCATCCATCGTTCATTTTCAATTATCATTGACTATTCAAAAAAAGTAATCCAAATGAAGGGAATGATGTACTGATTGTATATAAATATTTATGCTGTCAGTATATAAATATTACCCACCTCAAAAAATTGTTACAAGTAGACATTGATCAGATGCGAAAAACTATGCATCGATCAGAGAAATACATCATTTAGATTATTAGGATATTCAGAATTGCCGTTTTCCCAAGATTTAAGACATATCTAAAGCTGAAGGTAGAAGATAAGCTATTATTACCTCTTGCACGAAATGAAATTAATATGGAAGTAATTGATTTCCTTCCCCAGCTTACAGTCTCCTGCTTTTTCACCTCTTAAGTTTTGGTAGCACCAATAGCGTCCAAAGTAGCAAAAGCTGAAATTTGCACTTCATGTGGGTATTATTCATAACATCACATATCAATCTCTTAATTAAAAATCACAAGGCTGGGAAAATTCTTTAAGAAAAAGAAAGAAAAAATGAAAAATAAAAAGAGAGTACAGAGTACTAACTAGGGAGCCAAGGTGAAGATGAACGTGCATCACACTCTGTCTCCATTTTCCACATATTGCCTACCTCACTTGAATATACGTATTTAGATAGATTAGCTTGTTTTTGTGAAAATGTATAATTAATTATGTAAACAAATCTTACTGGGTAGATGGAATAAATGAATGATAATATAATGTATTGTAACCCCACAAGCAAGTAGCACCTGTAGCAAAATAAGGGAAATAATTTTGCACATTGGATTATTCTTTATCATAAACTGCCAAAAAGGTTATGTTCGAAATGTACAGAGAGGGATAATGAAAAACCAAATGTATTCATCCAAACACAGAAAAGGGTTGGACTCAATGGTTACTATAGCAGCCATCCAGAACTCCAACAATAATCATGAGCACTCATGGATCCTTGATGCAAAATGCAATATTTACTTTCCTTTCCTAAAAACAAAAGGAAAAAGCATTTTGGAATTTATTTTTCGTCAAGATAGGCAGCTCAGAAGGGTAGCTAGGAGAGAATAATAATAAAAGAATAGGGTGGTTCTGTATCTTGTATTGAGCTATAACAGAGGGTACAAAAATGCTGATTTATATTTTAATGAGTAGTTAGAAATTTGAATAGAGCCTAGTTTTGGCCATTTGGAGGAAAAATATACAACTGTGCTTAAAAAAAGTCACAAAGCCAGCTGGGGAAACATAATCTAAAGAGTTAAAATGAAAATAAAACCAATAGGATATTTGAATTTGCACCTTATGACAGCTCCTCTTGACGACTCACCTTCACTATAAGTATACTAGTGTTTTCTGCAGCTTTACTCATCATCACTGACACCAACCTCTTCTTTCTCTTTTCCCTTCTATCCATGATGGTTAGGATCAGCGACCCTGTAAAGGGTCGTCTTAGGCCACAGATGGCCATGGCATTGGCCATGGTTTTGATTTCCACTGCTGTGGTTTCTGTTGCTGCTGATGGTTACATTTACTCTTCTCCACCACCACCTTATGAGTACAAGTCACCTCCACCACCTTCTGCTTCACCACCACCTCCTTATGAGTACAAGTCACCACCTCCACCCCCTAAGGAGGAAAAGGCACCATCTTATGAATACAAATCACCACCTCCACCTTCACCGTCACCTCCACCTCCTTATGAGTACAAGTCACCACCACCTCCTTCACCATCACCTCCACCTCCTTATCAGTACAAGTCACCACCACCTCCTTCACCATCGCCTCCACCTCCTTATGAGTACAAGTCACCACCACCACCCCCTAAGGAGGAAAAATCACCATCTTATGAATACAAATCACCACCACCACCTTCACCGTCACCTCCACCTCCTTATGAGTACAAGTCACCACCACCTCCTTCACCATCACCTCCACCTCCTTATGTGTACAAGTCACCACCACCACCCCCTAAGGAGGAAAAATCACCATCTTATGAATACAAATCACCACCTCCACCTTCACCATCAACTCCACCTCCTTATGAGTACAAGTCACCACCACCTCCTTCACCATCACCTCCACCTCCTTATGTGTATAAATCACCACCTCCACCACCACATGAAAACAAGGCTCCACCATATTATTACAAGTCTCCTCCTCCACCCTCTCCATCACCTCCACCCACTTACTACTACAAGTCTCCCCCACCACCCTCTCCCTCACCCCCACCACCTTACTACTACCAGTCTCCACCACCACCAGTTAAATCTCCAGCCCCAGAGCCTTATTATTACAAGTCTCCACCACCTCCATCTCCATCACCCCCTCCACCATACTACTACAAGTCCCCACCACCCCCTTCACCATCTCCCCCACCACCTTATTATTACAACTCTCCACCACCACCAGTTAAGTCCCCAGCTCCAAAGCCTTACTACTACAAATCTCCCCCACCACCTTCACCATCACCCCCACCACCTTACTATTATAAATCACCCCCACCTCCTTCACCATCTCCTCCACCACCTTACTACTACAAGTCCCCACCTCCACCAGTTAAGTCACCAGCTCCAACGCCATACTATTACCAGTCTCCACCACCTCCATCACCTTCACCCCCTCCACCTTATTACTATAAGTCCCCACCCCCACCCTCGCCATCACCACCCCCACCTTACAACTACAAATCCCCACCTCCACCAGTTAAGTCTCCAGCACCCACTCCTTACTATTATAAGTCCCCACCACCACCTTCAGCATCTCCTCCGCCACCTTACTACTACAAGTCCCCACCTCCACCGGTTAAGTCTCCAGCACCCACTCCTTACTACTATAAGTCCCCACCCCCACCCTCGCCATCACCACCCCCACCTTACTACTACAAATCCCCACCTCCACCAGTTAAGTCTCCAGCACCCACTCCTTATTATTATAAGTCCCCACCACCACCTTCACCATCTCCACCACCACCTTACTACTACAAGTCCCCACCTCCACCGGTTAAGTCTCCAACACCCACTCCTTACTACTATAAGTCCCCACCACCACCATCACCATCACCACCCCCACCTTACTATTACAAGTCCCCACCTCCACCGGTTAAGTCTCCAGCACCCACTCCTTACTACTATAAGTCCCCACCACCACCATCACCATCACCATCACCACCGTACTACTACAAGTCCCCACCTCCACCGGTTAAGTCTCCAGCACCCACTCCTTACTATTATAAGTCCCCACCACCACCATCATCATCACCACCCCCACCTTACTACTACAAATCCCCACCTCCACCAGTTAAGTCTCCAACACCCACCCCTTACTATTATAAGTCCCCACCTCCACCAGTTAAGTCTCCAGCTCCCACCCCTTACTACTATAAATCTCCTCCTCCACCTTCACCATCTCCTCCACCACCTTACTATTACAAGTCCCCTCCTCCACCTGTGAAGTCTCCAGCTCCAACACCATACTATTACAAATCTCCTCCTCCTCCTTCACACACACCTTACTATTACAACTCTCCTCCTCCACCGGTGGTTTATCCTCCACATCCCTACCACCACTCATTGATTGTAAAGGTAGTCGGTAAGGTCTATAGCTTCAAGTGCTATGATTGGGAATATCCCGACAAGTCCCACAACAAGCACCACCTCGGAGGTACATTACAGTTATTTCTTTATCCTTTTATTTTGATCCTCTATCTATGTCATTTTTGGGTTAGGCTCATATGTTTTAATCATCTTGACTCTAAGCATCTACACAAACAGTTATTCTTAGTTGTCTCATTTCAACACTAATTATTTTGGTTTCCTATTATTTTTGGAACCCGAGCTATGTATAATCAAATCGTAACAGTTAGCAAGACATTGCTAATTGAAGTTGGAGAATAGTGTACCAAACTCGATTACTCTACCTTCAAACAACTTAAGCAAATAAATATATTCATATATTATCCTTTTTGCACAAATTAATAATACAACAGTCAGATTAATTGGTTAATATTAGCAATAGGGTTAATAGGCAATTCAAGCTAAAAGGTAAAACCACTAGTCGTATTATTACCTAACCAACATTTTTTTACTAAATATTATAAAATGACATACTAAATCCTATCTAAAATTATATATATTCAGTTAGAACGGCTTGCAGCCTGTAATTAATAAAGCAAGCAATGATATGACAAGGATAATTTAACTGGTTACCCTTAGTAACGCTGGCTAATATAATATCTTATTATATGATAAGGATAGTTCCACTCAGCTTTTATTTTAGTAATGCTGTCCATAAAAATATAATTTGTCGTAACATATATGATTTATGAATTGCAATTATTTTCATATGGAGCAGGTGCTGTTGTGGAGGTGAAATGCAAAGCTGGAAGTAACATTATTAAGGCTTATGGTAAAACCAAGAGCAATGGAAAGTACAGCATCACAGTTAAGGACTTTGACTATGTTAAATATGGATCCACAGTATGCACGGCTGAGCTCTATGCACCACCTAAGGGCTCACCATTCACCGTACCCACTAAGCTGAATGCGGCAACCGAATTGAAGGTGAAATCCAAGGACAAGTATGAAGTTGTGCTCAAAGCTAAGCCATTTGCTTATGCTTCAAAGAAGCATTTTGCAGAATGTGAAAAACCCAAACCTTCACCTACTCCTTATTACTACAAATCACCTCCTCCTCCATCACCAGTTTACATATACAAATCCCCACCTCCACCATCACATGTGGTTAAGCCTCCATACTACTACAAATCCCCACCTCCACCATCACCTTCTCCCCCACCTCCTTACTACTACAAGAGTCCCCCTCCACCCTCACCCGTTGTTAAGCCACCATACTACTACAAATCCCCCCCACCACCCTCACCCGTGGTTAAGCCTCCATACTATTACAAATCTCCACCTCCACCATCACCTTCTCCTCCACCACCTTACTACTACAAGAGTCCCCCACCACCATCGCCAGTGGTTAAGCCTCCATATTATTACAAGTCTCCACCTCCACCATCACCTTCTCCTCCACCTCCTTACTACTATAAGAGCCCCCCTCCACCATCACCCTCTCCACCTCCTCCATACTATTATAAATCTCCCCCACCACCATCGCCAGTGGTTAAGCCTCCATACTATTACAAGTCTCCACCTCCACCATCACCTTCTCCTCCACCCCCTTACTACTACAAGAGCCCCCCTCCACCATCACCTTCTCCACCTCCTCCATACTATTATAAATCTCCCCCACCACCATCATCAGTGGTTAAGCCTCCATACTATTACAAGTCTCCACCTCCACCATCACCTTCTCCTCCACCCCCTTACTACTACAAGAGCCCCCCTCCACCATCACCCGTGGTTAAGCCTCCGTACTACTACAAATCTCCACCTCCACCGTCACCTTCTCCCCCACCTCCTTATTACTACAAAAGCCCTCCACCACCATCACCATCCCCTCCCCCTCCATACTACTATAAGTCACCACCCCCACCATCACCATCCCCTCCTCCTCCATATTACTATAAATCTCCTCCACCACCATCACCTTCCCCACCTCCACCCTACTATTACAAATCACCTCCACCACCATCCCCATCACCCCCACCTCCCTACTATTACAAATCTCCCCCACCTCCATCTCCATCTCCACCACCTCCTTATTACTATCAAAGTCCTCCTCCTCCATCTCCCTCTTCTCATTCTCCCTACAACTACAAGTCCCCTCCACCACCTTCACCATCTCCTCCACCACCATACTACTATACATCACCACCTCCTCCATCCCCATCTCCCCCACCACCATACCACTACACATCACCACCTCCTCCATCCCCATCTCCCCCACCACCATACCACTACACATCGCCACCTCCTCCCTCCCCATCTCCCTCTCCCACCTACATTTACAGATCACCTCCCCCACCAGCTTACATCTATGCCTCTCCACCACCACCTAACTACAAATAATCTTGAGGCGCATAAGCTACAATTGTGATCAATTATGTAAGTTACTAATTTTTACAATGAAATTTATATATTATCATTACATGTATAAACCTTTTAGTAATGAAAACTCTTATTTCTTTCCAGATTATAATTCCCGTCAAGCAATAAAAGCAAGGTCCATTTGAGGCAAATTGAAACATCCAGCATCCGATCCATGTTCTTTGAATAAAAGCATGTGTCTTTATGAATCAGACGATACTAGTTCTATTTCTTTGATGGCCATAATAGGAGTCCTAATCTTATTCCAGTCAAGCCATGGACAACAAAACAAG